AAAACCCGAATGGAAAATCAACTGAAAAAATTGGATTAGACTGTATTCAACATGAGAATCATGATCATGAGAATATTTTAACCATACAAACTTCATATCTTTACATTATTTTTCTCTTATCTCTTATCACCATTAATTTATCTTTATAGAATGAAAATCTTCCCACATAACATCAACATAATTTATTCTCATTCAACATATAACCATGACTTAATATGATACCGCTATTCTGACAATGTTGAGACATATACGACCGGTAATTTTTTAAAATTATATTTAGCTACATATTGAACGGATCTTACTTCTTATAACTTATAAGTGTAATTGAAAAAAAAAAAAAAAAAACCCTTCAATTTCCAGATTCTTTTTCATTTATCATATTTACTTTTACAATCTAAACAGACACAGAAGTCTCAAGTCTCAACGGTAAAAAGCTTTCTAAGCAAGAATATGAAGAACTCTTGAGTTTTACTGGCAAAAAAATTAAGTTAATACTTTTTAATAAATTAATTACATATTTATTACAGTTTTGAAAATAATTAAATATTTATTCCACAATATAACACCCAATTTGGGCGTCACCAATAACGCCTAAATTGGGCGTCACTCAAGAGGCAAGTATGCCTAATTTAAGCTTTACTCATCAGGTGTTGACACGTGTAATATTTTTTTTCTAAAAAAATAAATAATTTAATAATAAAACTTCTGAAGGCCATAACTTTTGACTCAGGTATCTAAATCAGGTAATTCTTTTTTTGATTCCACATAACTTTTCGAAATCTACGCAATGACATCTCATTTGACATATTTTATTTCTCACAAACACAATTTAAATTTACAAGAATGATATTATAAGAGCGGTTAAACCCAGAAGCCTCTGAGTTTTGGGTTTGTGATTTAATATAAATAAATAAATAAAATTTTGATTTGTGATTTAATTTTTTTTTATAATACTTTTCTTTTATTATAACCAAAATTTGGTTTTGAATTAAATTAAACTATTAATAAGGAAAACAAAATAAAGATTTGATTTGTGATTTAAACTAAAAAATCAATTTGAAAAATCTGTAGAAATAAAAATAATAATTAAATAAATATTCTAAATCTCTAAGGAAGAAGGATATTATTTTTGAAATTAATGATTAATGTTATAAGTTTCTGATTTATTATTCGTGGTCTGAAATTAATGATAGCTTACGAATGTTTTTCAAAAATAAAATTACCTAAATTAGGCGTGATTGTCTCTTGATTGAAACTAAATTTAGACGTGATTGGTGACGTGTCAGGTGTTGACACGTGTCACATTTTTAAACTCAGAAGCCTCTAAATTCTGGATTTGTCATTTAATATAAAAAATAAATCAAGATTTGATGTGTGATTTAAATTAAAAAAATAAAATTTTTATTTTTATTATAAAAAAAATTTGGTTTATGATTTAAATTAAAAATAACAATTTTTTTTTTGTATAACAATTATTAGTAATAAGGAAAACAAAATAAAGATTTGATTTGTGATTTAAACTCAAAAATCAATTTGAAAAATCTGTATTAATAAAGAAAATAATTAAATAAATATTCTAAATCTCTAATGAAAAAGGATTTTATTTTTGAAAAACATTCATAAGGTATCATTAATTTCAAACTACGAATCAAATCACAAATCAAATCTTTATTTATTTTTTTATATTAAATCACAAATCAAATCTTTATTTATTTTTTATATTAATTCACAAACCCAGAACTCAGAGGCTTCTGGGTTTAACCGCTCTTATAATATCATTCTTACAAATTTAAATTATGTTTGTGAGAAATAAAATATATCAAATGAGATATCATTGTGTAGATCTCGAAAAGTTATATGGAATCAAAAAAAGAATTACCTGATTTGGATACCCGAGTTAAAAGTTATGGTCTTCAGAAGTTTTATGATTAAATTTTTTTTTTGAAAAAAAAATATGACACATGTCAACACCTGATAAGTGACGCCTAAATTAAGCGTATAGCCTCTTGAGTGACGCTCAATTTAGACGTTATGGTGACGCCTAAATTGAGCATCATATTGTATAATAAATGTGTAATTATTTTTAAAACTGAAATAAATACGTAATTAATTTATTAAAAAACATTAAATTAATTTTTTTTTCCGGTTTTACTTGTAGTTTCCCCTGCTAAAACGATAACGTGGTGCCGGCATTGTTGACTATTGTTCATAAAAGGCTTGATCGAGTTGGATAAGTGACACGTGGAAATAAGTGACATATTTCATCAATAATATCGTCACCGTGAATTGAAGCAGCCTTCGACAATTGACAATCCAATACTGAAGGCTTTCATGTAGAAGTACACATCCAAGCCTTAGCACATGAGGGATAACATCAGTTCTATGAATGACTTGAGCCTTAGCACATCAACTCGTCACACATGAATAGCACCGTCAACCAGTGGTGTAACCACATCCAAACCAGCACGTGACGTGTCATCTGGTTATTTTTTATATTAATTATAATTAACTAAGGTAAAAATTATAATTTAACATCACTTAAATAGAAAATCAAGTACTCAACACAAAGTAACAACAAACTATCTAAATGCAAACAAATAATAAGGAACATATATAGTATGATTATTTTTGTGTTTTATCTTTTTTTTATCCTGTATATTTTTTTTATGCTTTATTCTAATCAGTTATGTTATTTATTCTTACTCTTATTATTTTAAAAAGAAAGACTTCTAAACTTAATCACAAAAATGATTACTTGACCTATTTCAAAATATGGGCCTAATTGAACCAAATAAATACATTTAAAAGTAGGAAAAATGGTTTATCCTTTTAAAGGACACAATATTGTATCCTTTTAGTTTTTGACACTATATCTTACCTGTAAAACATAATTATAATAATGTACCAAAAAAAAAAAAAAAAAAACATAATTATAATATGATTTTTTTTTTTTATATTTCCTCAATCACTTTAGCTGACGTGGAGAGAGAAAAAAAATCATTTTTCATAATTATAACTATGTGTTACCGGTAAGACATAGTGTTAAAAATTAAAATGACACAATTTGTGTCTTTTAAAAGAACAAACATTTAACCTTTGAAAGTAACAATCATGAAACCAAATGAATAATGGGACTATAATTATGGAATATGAAGTTCCATTGAACTATTGTATTTTGGATTATTGCACACAAAGAATAGTCAAAAATCTAATTCCTAAATGTGAGAACTTTCCTTCGTGTATATAATTATATAAGTAATTATAATTGGGCCCTAGCTAAAATTGTAAGTTGACCATAGTTAAAATTGTAACAGTGGTAACAGATGAAAATATGGAGTTGCTTTCCGTGTATGACTAGATAACATATTTCTTTCTTTTTAATTTCTTCTTCTTCTTTCATCTTTTTTCAATTGAGATTTTCTTCTAACCTTTTTTTCTTATTCGCATTCACCACGCGGAACCTAGCCATTCTGTGACAAGGCACGATGTTTCGTTCCTTTCTTCAAGATTTTACGGATACCTGTTCTTGGAATATGCATTGGTAATTATATTGTCTGTTGACGAAAAAAATCGATTTATATTTTTGAACCTAATAAAAGTGAAATTCTTTGTCTTTGCTGACCATAATTGTTTATTGAGTGTTTCTAACATAAGTGAAATTTGCGCCCCCTTTATTTTATGGGAAAAGTGTCTATCATTTAAAATTACACAACTTACATCATTTCACTCTCACAAAGAGGTGGGACCCACACCTTTATTTTTTTTTTGTCAACTCTCTCTCCTCCTTTATCTATCTCTTTCTCTCTCTTAAAATGACACAACTTTACATCCTTTAAAATTATACACATTTTTCCCTTATTTTATTTACAACTTTTTTTTGTGGTTGTAGTTATTGATTTTATTTCTTTTGAAAAAAATGGAGTGTTGTTTTACGTTTACCTTTTTAAAAAAAAAAATATATTTTAATGTAGAGCTACAGTTGCTATTGGTAATGGAATTGAATTATTTATTGATTTTATTTGTATTTTATTTCACAACAAGAATGTTAATTTTAGTTATTAATTAGTGAAAACTGTATATATATTAGTGAAAACTGTATATATATGGAGTATGAAAATTTCTCATACATATCCATTAACAAATTTTTTTTTGTATTTTTAAATTTTTTAAAATATCTAAACACTAATTAAATGATTTATGTGGATCCAATGTCATTTAAATAATTTTAGACATTTGTCGCTGATTATTCTATGTTTCTTTTTAATTGTGAAGTTTGTTGTCGGATCGAATGTCATTTAAATAATTTTAGACATTTGTCGCTGATTATTCATGTTTCTTTTTAATTGTGAAGTTTGTTGTCCCTCTACGTTAAAGTTCTTTAGAAGTCACGACTAGGGGTATAAATAAGTCAAATTAAGCTATACTTTAACTATAATAGCCCAAGCCTATGTAAAATATTTGAAACCTATACTAACCTGTTGGCCTATTAAATACTTGATTTATGGCATGTCATATTATAAAAAAACTAAAAAAATCGAATACGAGTTGTAAAGCCTACTAAGTTACAAACTAAAGTTTGTAAGCCCAAATCAAAATAAAATATAAAAATAAAAAAATTTATTCACAAAGATCACGAAATCAATTTTCATTAACATCACATGAAATAAATTTTCATTAACATCGCATGAAATAATGTTATCAAAGATCACATGAAAATTTCATATATATATACTTTCTTTACTAATTTTATTTTATATTATACTCTAAATTTTAAATAAACAATTATTATTTATTAAAATAACATCGATCCTATTACTTTAAAAATTTTAAGTAATTTTTTTTAATAGATTTGTGTAATTATTAATTTTTTTTTATAATTTAATATGTTAAATTTTTTGACCAGACTAAAATTAAATCCTAACTCCACCACTGCATCAACGCTTAATAAGAAATGAAACCGTAAACATAAAGAACTGACAAGGTAGAAGCATACCATCTCAATTTAACAAAATATACTGCTTATAAGAAACATGAAAATTTGTTCCCTCTTCCCCCAACCACCAGTGGATTTCAGGTCAAAATTGATCACCGTTTTACAGATATAAAAGGACTTTAGCCCCAAAATAAAAAAAGAAATAGAGGAAAAGAAAATACACCAGAATTATGTAAGAATAAGTTGAAAAATTGCAACAACTTAAAGATAATCAACCCTCTTCATCAAGATAAAAACTATTCCAGCAAAAACGACTTCCAAAACGTAACGTTCCCAAACAAGTCATAGGAAAAACCTCCTTCGGCTTGTGTCCATTTCCCCCTGAAAGAGTGGAAAAAAAAAAGGACAAGAAGAGAATAAAGTAACAATAGACAATGAGTTAGGAATATAGGAAAAATGCTTCACAAAGTCCGACCAAGATTTGAAACAGCAATATAGAGTTGGTTAACAATAAAATTACCTTGTGCACCCACTCATATTCTCCACCCTTAGTGTCAAATGTTCCATGCTGCAGGCTAATCAACTTCAATGTGAAACGAGGGCCACATTCCTGCATTTTTAAAGTGAAGTCGTTGCAGCAACAAGTTTGGAGACCATAATAAATAAAAATAATGCTAAACTTGAACGAATAAGCTAGAATAATACTTAAATCCTAGGAAACATTAGAAACAGTTTATCATAGCGAAGGTAAATGCAAGACATGTGCAAAGTGAGAGCAGACCCATGTCTGTCATGATCACATTGTAGTTAACTCTCTCTAGATGTGAATACCTAATAAATAACCCAACAACTCTGAAAAAACCATTACTTAATCTTCACAAAATCTCTCTTCCATAATACCATCTGGATCAATATCACCCTATATCACAGAAGTCAACTATCATAACCACCAGTTTTATCATATGATACTTAGTATGACACACCATTCAAGGTACTATAACACTAATATAACTTATGTTTTGGCACGCAAAAAGAAAAGCAATGAGGAGCAATCAATGGAAAGCATTAAAAAAAAAAAAACTAAAAAAGTGATACAATAATTTACATTCAGTAGCCAATAGCCATTGAGTTTCAAAGTGGTGGGAAATAAAAAAGAGCAGATACCAACCTGAAGACGGGCAATTGTTTTGTGTTCAGGAACAATCTCACTCTTGCCATCCTTGTCCTTTTTACCTTTAGATTCGGTTTTTTTAATTTCTTTGGTTTCAAAAATGTACCTGAAGTATAAGAATGAATGTAACACAATGTCAGAATTATTAATATTGACAATATAGTAGCCTGTAAGCCTCATGATATATACCTATGATGCCGGAAGAATATGAAGTCTCTCTGGTTGTGGAAGGTGACTACTCGTCTACCTTTAAATTCTGGAGCTTGTGGAAAAAGTGATTGTATCAATCTATTAAAACAAGAAATCAGCAAATAAGGAGATATTTGATAATGAAAAATGATATTAGCAAAATAGGAAAGGTAGCCTTAGATTCATTTCGTCTCTTTTCATAAGCATTCTTAGAAAAATAACTGACAGGCAGTACAAAACTATTTCAAACAGACCTAGCATCTGAATATAACAAAACATTAGAAAAAATATTACAAGTCGCATATAAATGGTTAACTATAAATTGAACATAGACTAAGAGAAGAGGGTTACCTTCCAATTCGACACCCTAGACGTGTTGTGAAGTTATTCAGCACAAGCTCAGGCTTGTGACTCGTTGGAGTTCCATGATTCTGCAATGGGACACAAAATGCACACAATAAAAACAAATAAATAATTTATTTTCATTAACATAAAATGACAAGCTTAATCTCAAAACAAAATAAATTCATCTACCAATCTTTCCTGTTAACACAGGTTGAACCGCAACATGAAATTCATCTGATATTGGTAACACAAGTTGCAGGACTTATAAGATTATATTTCTTACGGTGAATAATAATCAAAAATGGTGAGCACCTCTTGACTTAAACTGTCATAATACATTTTCTTACTCCCTCTCTCTAAGAATTTAAGTGGAAAAATTATTGTTCATCTACTGCAGATTATGAAAATTATCGTATACCAATATCAATCAGACAACCGGAACTATATATATTATTGTTATATTTATAAATAACAAACTTCAAACCTTGAGATCCTTGCGCAAAACAAGCTTTGAGAGCTTGAAATGAGCAGTGGGTCCATCAGGTAAGCCCATGATTAAGAGAGCATCTGCAATTCATGGGAGCAAAGAATTAAAAACTTGTAAGAACATTACACCCTAAGATCTAAAGACAAAAAAGCATCTTAAAAACGATTTTTAAATACTATAAAATCTGTATAAGACCTATAGTGGAAAGCACCACCTACCTGGTTCCCTGCGATTGGTGTGAACAACTATAATAGAAGTGAAGTCCTTGTTCCTTGCATATTCTACAATCTGCAATCCAAAATGAAATTAGAAAGAAAAGTTCGAATATAATAAGCAGCATGTTTTTCACTCACATGGGGAAGAGACTCCCAGCACCTTTTTTAAATCATAGGTTCCTCTCTTGAAGTAATGTGCATTTGGTATAAATGAAAGCAATTCTGATATGAAAGCAGGTCCCCTCTGCAGATCAAGTCATATTTCAACCAAAAGATGGAAACATGTCAGTACAATAAACAAAGCAAGATTTACTCAGACCCCATTCTACCCCTAAAAGTCAGAACCAAAAAGACAAAAGCAAATTAAGGAGGAAAGGGTCCATGCTTAAATGTACTAAAGACAAACTTGAGATTACAAACAGTGGCATATACGAAACATACTGTAGAATTGAAGCGGCAAGTGGTGATTAATATCTTGGGAGTTTGTTGCTGTTTTAAAATCGAACTAAATTCATCAGCATCATTTCCGGCAAATAACTGCAAACAAATACAATTCAAGAGTCAGCAAAAGTAATTTGAAAAAAAAAAAGGAAAAAAAAAATGTTAGTGTAGTTGTAAAGGGAATGGTAAAACTGTTTCTTTAAAAGGGGGCGAATTGGAGCAGTGATAAAACTGTTCATTCATGACTGAAAGGTCATGGGTTCGAATCCAGGAAACAGCCTCTTTGCAATTATGCAAGGGTAAGATTGCGTACAAGGATTTCCTCCACCCCACACTCGCTAGTCGGGTTTAACTGGGAGTGATTTTTTTTTTAGTTGTAAAGCTAATGTTAAATTCAAAAGAAACTGTCCTCCATCAAAAACTAGTTATCCATCCCCCTAAACAATGACTTTCATTTCGTTTGCAAATTCCATAGTTTATAATCATCTCCTACACGTCACTTAAGATTATTGGTAAAATCAGATTGGTCTGCTTCAAGTTATATTGATGGAATAAGCATCATCTGTAATTCTACTTGGGATTAGCACCGGTAATTCTAATCTTAATCAGCATCACCTCAAACAAAGGATGTTATATACACATTCTGCAACTAAAATATTGAAATCTAATCTTAACACATTTTCAACAATAACCAGCGCATAATCTAAGTTCAAATTTCAAAACCTCTTCGTCATCGGGCCTGCAAACGGTCTCGTCGAATTCCCTGGTGTTCTCGATGGTACGAGGTACCTCCTTCTCCGGAGGCTGCAGGAACGTAAAAGAAACAAACATCAAACTTCAAAGCAAACAACAAAAAACGATTTGAAATTGTTGAGAGAGAAAGAGAGTGAGGGGAACCTTCTCACCGAGCTCGAGAGCTCTCTTGTGAGCAGCGTCACGAGCGTTGGCCTTGGCGCGCTTCTCGAGCTTCTTCTGACGCTTGGCCTTGGCATGAACCTCTGATCTCTTCTCCTTGTTTTTGATCATCGAAGGAAGCAACTCCTCCTTGTTCTTTTTCTTCGTTATTGATTTCTTCATCGAACCTTCTTCGCCATCGTCGCTTCCTGAACCCTCGTTCTTCTTCCTCTTTCCCCCCATTGTTGGTAACCGTAGCAACCACTCGAAGTTTAGGGTTTTCGAAGCAGAAGAAAAAAAACAGAGAAGAGTGAAGATTTTTTTCTGATTAGGGTTTTGAAAGAGGGGTCACCCGGGTCTGTTCCCCTGTTCGCTTCCCTATGGCTTTCCCTGTGCACCATACTATCGTATTATTACATGTAAACTGAAAAAAAAAATTAAATTAAATCTCTTCATGTTAATTAAAAGATAACGTTCGATATAATAAGTGTATAATGAAATCTTAATATTATACTGTGTTTTGTATAATATCATATTAGATGATATTAGTCCGTATTTGATAACATTAAAACCAATTCCATAAAACCCGCCAGTAATTTGTTTTTAAATTTTAATTGAATATATTAATTTTTGTTTTTCACTTTTTTTCCTATCAACCTTCCATGTTTTCTTTTCATTTGGCAATTTATGTACAAGTGTTGGATAATATTATTTTAAAGGAAAAGTGTGTCCATTTAAAAGATGTATTTAGGTTATTTTAAGAGAGATAGATACAAAGAGATATGAATTTTATTGAAAAAAATAAAGACAAAAAATAAAGATGTGAATCTCAGATCTTTATATGTACTTCTCTTTTAAAATGATCTAAGTATATATCCTTTTTAAAGGATATATACTTTTCTATTATTTTACTATGTGGATGATGTGTGATTGATTTTTTAATTGCTTATGACTTTTGATATATCATATAATTACCATACTAATAGTATATTGAAGAGTACTTGCTCCTTTCTTCATGTAAAGTCCTACATAAAGACATCGTGACTCTTATAGGAATTGTAATGACTAATGAATAATATTTCTATACTTTTTCCAAGGCTCTTCCTTTTATCTTCATATATTTTCTTTCTTTAGTTTCTATTCTTTATTTCTCTCCATTTATTTTATAACAAGAAGCAACATATTCAATCTTTTTTATTTTTTAGTGTATCTTTTATGTATTATTTAACACAATCATATTATATTAGGGGATCATAACTATTAATAAGAGATAAGAGAAAAAATATTAAAATAAGAAATAAAAAAATCATCACCATTAACTGATAGTTATCACTAACTAATTGAGAAATTTAAAAAGACAAATCAATACTAAGACAATGTATTGTTATGGTAAGGACTAAGGACCAATGTTGTCAAGCTCGAGTTTCTACGTAGAAACATAAAGGAATGGTAGAAACGTAAAACGTAGAAACGACACGAAATATAAAGTTTCTACTTTCTACTACTTAAGGTCAAGATACAAAATTATATATATACATGTAAAAAAAATCACATAATGAACATGTGTGTTGAGCCATTTATCTATCTAAAAAGAAAAATTATTTTTGATAACCAAGTATCAAAATTATAAACAATGATAACTAACAAGTAATGAATAATCAATCTGCTCTAATTGTTTTATACACTCTGCAAATTTTGGATTATTGGTCATCAGGATATAATTATACTTCTTTCAATGGACACAATAATCCAAAAATACAAAAGAATTTTTATAGCATAACTTATAATAGAATTGCAGTTTTATAAGATATAATTATAAAAGACATATATCCAAACAAAAAGATATCAAGATAACATATCATTTGGGGAAAATGAAAATTGGTTTTTTTTTTTAAATCTTTTTTTTTTTAATTTTTTTCATTTTAAGTAAAAACAGTTAAAACACTAAAAACGTAAGTTTTTACTATTTTTGTACTGCGTTTTTATCAGTTTTTATCAAAGATCATTTTTACTTGCCTTTTACACGCACCACTCTAATAAAAACGTAACTAGTTTTTGACGACAAGGACAACTATCCTTAGCGAGTTAGCGATAATTAAATAATTATTGAAGTCAACGGCAAGGAGGGAAAAGTAGGAAATGGGGCATGGAGGAGTTTAGGGTTATAATTAAAAATATTTTTCAGAAACTTATACATCAAAACTTATTTAAATTTAATTTTATTCTATAAAGTCTTATTAACTAATCTATTATTTTAATGTATAATAAACTTTTGATGAATACGGTAGATGCACCAAACACCTAATAAGATTATTTTATATTTTATAGCGTGCCACAAACTCTTTTATATTAATATTGTATTATGTAAAAATTGTTTTTTTTCTTCTTCTAAAGGTAGGAGAAAACTAACACTGTAGAGGGATCGGTGATTTTAAATTAATTTTAGATGTTTGGTAAAATGTGAGCGAAAAACATAGTTAAATAATTTTAAATGGTTGGGATCCGTTTCGGGTGTATACGGTTTGGTGATGTTTTGATTATGAAGGATTATATTTAAATAAATTTTAATTTTCGAATATTTGATCTATATTAGTATATTTCAATTTTAAATTTTATTTAAGTGGCTTGTTTTAGGAATTAAATATATAATATTTTTAATTTAAAAGACTAAGTTTCTTTATCAATTAAATTTAATACAAAATATAATTAATGATATAAATAAATTCTATAAATAAGTTAAATCTGTTCATTAGTTCATTACTTTAATCAACGTGGAGCCGTAGACTGAAAAAATTATTTGAATGTGATATTACCATTTAATAGATAATTTGGATAAATATTTACTAAAACGACAGCACTGGATGTAATTAACAAATTGATAGATAGACTAAAAAAATTAAATAAATATAAAACGTTATAAATTAAAATGAATACATTCTAAATATAAATACCAAATACTTAATTAAGCCTAAACTTTAGTATCTATTAAGTATGACAACTAATGAGAGTATTTTCTTAAGTTCCAAAATAAGCTAGGATATGATACCACACAGGAGCAAGAAGGAGACTCATTTGGGTCTGGTGTATTAGTGTTATTAACTGTGACAGCTTAATGGCTTTTGTGTACATCAATATGATCTAATCGAATTTAATATGGAAATCTTGCTTAAACAATTATTTATACTCAATATGAACAATTAAAATAAAGTTAATTAGATTTATACAAATTAATTAAAGTCAGATTTTTTATTTTTGGATTCGTTTGAGCTAGACTTGAATTTTGTTTCAACTTAGTTTTTGATAAACAACCATCTCAAGTTATTAAATGATGAATCTTTAATAGTAGCTTAACTTGTTAATGGGTGGGTCTTCAATAACTTTATATTATATTTCTCTAATATGTATTTTATGTGAGAGCTTTTGAATAAATGTGGATATTGTATATGTCCATTTTTTTATTTTACCTTATGATGACTTAAGTCCATTAAAAAGTGAGAAGCAATAAGGAAAAATTCATGACCTTATAATCACAAAAACTCTAATATCATAATAAAAATCATCTCACTTAAAAACTCAAAATGTTAAGTGATCGACGTTTAATAATTTTATATTATATCTCTTTAATCATTTTCACTTGTAAATTGGAGTACATATGGTATTTATTTAAATTTGATAGAGAAGATTTACATCTAGCTAAGATCGATAGTTCCCACAAAATGGTTCATTGGTCTGGTCTGGAGTAAGGAGACTGTTAACATAGAAGAATCTCTCTCCTTTTGTGGTGCCAGTGCCAATGTAGGCCACAAAGACTTGGTGTGTTGGTCTGACAAATGTGAACCACCAGATTCTGATTTTTCCATGTAAACCTATCCTATGAGAGATTCTGCATGCCACATGGCAACTAGCCATCAAATTTTTGGTTCACATTCCTATCCTTTAAGATAAGAACCCTTCATACATTAACAAAATTGCATTTCCTTTCTCATTCATCAATCAATCATACACAGCAGCACAACAACTCAGTAATCTAAATCATGGCTTCTGTGTGTGCTTCCTCTGCCATTGCAGCTGTTGCCATCTCCACCCCAAGGCAAGTTTCTCCACAACCCCATTACTTGAACATGTATTTATGTAACCAGTAATGCAAACAGCACATGAAATGTTTCATGTATTGCCACAGTTAAAATGATGAAAACCCTGCTCTTAGTTGATGCATACTTATGTGAACCTTGACTTATTCATGCAATGAAATTCAAGCTAGTAGTATACTAAACAAAATTTTAAAAAGAAAATAATGAAATTGCATGCAGTTCCCAGAAGAATGGATCACCCTTGGGAACCACAAAAGCTTCTTTTCTTAGTGGGAGGAAACTGAAGGTGAACAACTTTACAGCACCAGTTGGAGGAAGATCCACCACTACTGTGTGTGTAGCAGCTGATCCTGACAGGCCACTGTGGTTCCCAGGAAGCACCCCTCCTCCATGGCTTGATGGCAGTCTTCCTGGAGATTTTGGATTTGATCCTCTAGGTCTTGGTAAGATATTATCAGTATTCAAAATTTGCTATCACTGAATCACCTCAAGTAGTAGTCATCATTATCCCTTATTGGGAATTCAAGTGACCACAAAAGTGGGTTGTGGTGATTCAACAGGATCTGATCCTGAGAGCCTGAGATGGAATGTTCAAGCTGAGCTTGTTCACTGCAGATGGGCAATGTTAGGTGCTGCTGGCATTTTCATCCCAGAATTCCTAACAAAGATTGGTATCCTTAACACCCCTTCATGGTACACTGCTGGAGAGCAGCAATATTTCACAGACACTACAACTCTCTTCATTGTTGAGCTCATTTTCATTGGTTGGGCTGAGGGTAGAAGGTGGGCTGATATCATCAAGCCAGGGTGTGTCAACACTGACCCTATCTTTCCCAACAACAAGCTCACAGGAACTGATGTTGGGTACCCAGGTGGGCTTTGGTTTGACCCACTTGGCTGGGGAAGTGGTTCTCCTGAGAAGATCAAAGAGTTGAGAACAAAGGAGATCAAGAATGGGAGATTGGCCATGTTGGCTGTGATGGGTGCATGGTTCCAGCACATATACACTGGCACTGGTCCTATTGACAACCTCTTTGCTCACCTTGCAGATCCTGGTCATGCTACTATTTTTAAAGTAAGTTCAATCAACATTTAGGTCTTGATTTCATACTTTAGACTTTAATTTATTGTTTGTTCTGCTGACTTTATTTATCTATTACTGATACAGGCTTTCACTCCAAAGTGAGGAGGGGTTAGAATAACTCTTATAAGATTGCAAGCCTTGGAGAAACATTGGTGAACCTCTTTTACTATGTAGTAAGGCTTAAATGTTTTTAGGGAGGAGTGTTTATGTTGGTGAAAGCTTGTAAAATGGCCACTTCTATGTCATGCACAGTTTTATGATTCAATGTACAAATACCGGTTTAAGTTTAGATGCCTTGAATGTAGATTCATGAAGCAATCACATTTTTGCATGGATGATAGGACCGCAGTGATATCTGACGGTAACTAGCGCAGGGGATATTAGATCGTCCTTGCTCTTTAAACGAGTATATTACTCCGATGACTTCAACAGAGAAAATGAACAGAAAAATATGTGAAATTTAAGCATACGATTTCATCATTTTTTTTTTAATTTTAAATTTAGAACTTAGCCCTAAAATCATTAAGTGCTGAATTAATTCTACTAGAAAATGAGAGCAATAAAAAGTTAATTCGTGACCTGATGATCACAGGAACTCTGATACCATAATAAACAACTGTCATATCTCACCCAATAGTTCAAGGTGCTAAGCGATATCTGCGTTTATTTTAATATTTTTCTCTTTTAACAGTTTCTTGAGAAAATGATTATACTTATTATCATGCTATGTTAGTACTAATAAAAAAAGATGGAATATATTAATGTTTTCAGTACTTGCATAACATAGTTGTTCTTGCTTCCTATTTTTAATAGCAGATGTTTAAGTGGGAAATTTTATTTTAGGATAAATAAAATAACAAGAATCCTTTTCGAGTCTTGTGTTTCTTTCATCCTCATTCTTTGAAACAATTCCTTTCATTCAAGCTAAGCTGCCTTGGTTTCTGTAAGTGAGGAAAAAAATGCTATTCCTCACCTGATTCAATAGTCAAAATCCGCAATAAATATTATTCCTAAGGCGATTGTGCTGTGAGTTCATCACTATCATGTAGCACCTTCGCAAAATATCCAAGCAAGTTGAAACATACAGTCGATTCGTGGCTTAGATCATCAGCAATCTCCTAAAATAAACTCTTTTTGGTTCCAAGGCCATATATAAAAACTTCAAATTATTGACATTATCCTACAATACATATGGAGTATGCATAATTGCAATAGCCATTGCATACAATCACTGCACTTAATGAACTTTCCATTCCTTCTTTTTTACTCTTTAGCAGAGTTTTCAACTTCCATGAATAAAATTTATCGTATAGCAACTCATCACAAGTAATAAAATAAATAATCTTCATGTGGATACCAACACTTGTCTTCATCACTTTCAAATTCTCAAGTGCCAACATTTTGTTTTTTGCTAAGGTTTCCTGTAATGAAAACCAAAGTAAAAACAATGAATCCAAGGAGATAACATGAAATAAAAAACAATACAGTTTTCCTAAATTCCTGGAAAAGCTAACAACACAATATTCTTCCATAGCTTCTTATTCCCTTGTCTTGAGCTACAAACATTATGATTTTCATTTAACTATGCCCAGCAAATATGTGTCCCTAATGTTTCTTTCTTCAAATTTCATTCTATAAACAGTTTTTTTTTATAATTTTCCATTATCTTGTCACATTTTCTTTATGTCCAACATTCATCTGTTATAGATATTTCTAAAGATAGATTACATCCTTTTCATTCTATATCATAATTTAAGAACAAGCAAAAGAGTATTCCAATTATTACAGGATATCTTACCTCCAAAGCTCTTGCTCCATAGGACCTGACCATCAATTCCAGTAAGATGTTGATCATCAAGACGTTTCCATGTTTTAATTGACTTGACATCTCCCCAACTTCCTTTTTCTGTTTTCTCCAAGCTAGCTACCACCACTCTTGCTCTCCTAGGCCATCCAGCTTTTCCATAAGCATGGTATCCAAATCCTCCACCATAACAAAGTTGTATACCTGTTAACTTACCACAGAAATCATTGATGTGATCATGGCCAGTGAAAACTCCCTTCACATCTCCTGCTTCAACCAAGGTTGTGAAGAAGCCAGAGTTCACAGAAGCAGAGCTAATGCCATCCGGTTCCTGTTTCACACCTGTGAAGTTTGATGAGTCAAAACTAGCATATTCCGGTAGCGGGATGTGAAAGTATGCAAGACCAGGAGCAGCTTCTTTCTGAGGCAATGGTCTATTTATGTATGCTTTCTGCAAAATAAAGAAATAGTAAGTGGTCAATCAAAATATTAACAATGGAAAGAACTGAAAAACAAGTCACATGCTTAATGAGGATCCACAAAAACTTCCATTCATAAGCAGATACTAAACAAGAAAGAGAAACAGGATAATTGGGTTTGCAGGATCTTAGAAGTCAAATGTTTTGTAGCTAGAACACAGCTAGATAAGATAATGGAACAGATGAGACAGTACCCTAAGCTTTGCAGATGTTCGTTGGAACCAAAGTTGCTGGGAGGGCTTGATCCAATCATAACCAAAAATTAAAGGAACTTTGGAATAATCTCCACTATCAAGAAAGTATAGATTGAGCACTGATTTATTTTCAAAATCAGTTCCTTTAACTCCTCCAACCTCCAAGTTGTAGTTCCCAAAACCATCAATGATGTGTACTTCTGGAGGATTGAGTTTAGATAAAGTGTTTTTCATCCCAACAATATGTTTCATCACCCCTTCCCTAGAGAGGGATCCTTCCTGGTCATGGTTGCCCAAAACAGCTACCCAAGGAATGTTTGATGCAATTGCAGGAGCAAATGCAGCATCCAATGATTTAGCAGAATCCGAGGAATCAAACCCAAAGATATTATCTCCTGTCACACCACAATAGGTTATCTCATATCAACAATCAAAGAAGCTTGTAACTATAACTTGCTTACATGTGCAAAAGATGATTTAAAAATAAAAATAAAAATTACAAGCCCCAAAACAATACAATACTAAAATCCATTTCATTTCCATCCAGTTACAAGTAATTGGAACAACATCATGCTCATTGTCTTTGATTAGTTAAAGATGTTTTAATTGTCCCAGTACCAAAACATGTTCACTTCACATATTCTTCCGGTAACTAAACTATCAAATCACTGGGGTGTTAATTATTGAAAGAATGAAGGAAAAAGGTCCTTTTTTTTTTTCCAAAAACAAGAGAAGAGAAGCTAAAAAACTAAAAGCTACAATTAGAGAGAAATGAAAAAAAAAAAAAAAAACTGAAAACCATAAACAAGACAAGTATTGAATACCAGTGAAGACAATAAGATTAGGCTTTTCAGCAAGGATCATCCGGTGAAGGAAAGCAGTAGTGTTGAGGTCAGAACAAGAAGCATTCTGTGAAGGGAGCACATCCAAGCACAGTGTAGTCTTGCCATCTGCATAGTGCATATCTGCCACCTGCAATATCTTGAATTCTCCATTTTGACCAAACCTCAGCTTCTGGTTCTGTTGTTGCTGTGGTGGGGACACTTGTTTCACCGCCAAGGTGCATACAGGAATCCAACAACACGATGAGACCAACACCACCAAAACAATAGAATCCAAACCCATTTTCCTCTTGGTACCAAAAACACTTCTTTCACTCAAGACCATCACTGTTTTGGGAATTTGGGTGCACAAAACCAATCAAAATCTCAACTTGTTCAGCTGCTACAACAGCACCTGCACCTGGTGGGGTTGGGGTCTCTAGGCTATGGATGCTGGTGTTGATGAGAGTAGGAAGAAGATAGAAGTTAGAGCTAAGCAACTTGGAAATGAAAGTAAAGTCCTTAGCTTTTATCTTCTTCTTGATGAATATTTATCATTGGACCAGTTTCATTGTACTGTTTAGGAGAAAAGAAGAAGACAAGACAACTTAAGTATGGTAACTAACAAGGAACAAGAAATAAATCTTGGGGATGTCTTTGTCTAGTTGATGATAAGAATACATTAATTGGTTCAAAGTAATTAACCAATTATGTATATACCAACTTGAGCAACAAATCACAAAGATTTATCTGGTGCAATCAAAGCTATAAATACAATGATTTGGAGAATCTAATTTTGTGCAATCCCTAAATAAGAATAATTGTTAAATTATCGATCCGTGAGAGATTATTTCTTTAAATTATTTTCTCTTAAGATTGATTTGTTATAATTACTGAATTCATTGTAAAAGTAGTAAATAAAATGGAAACAATGAAATAAAAAGGAGAAATTCGCTTAAAAAGATAGAAAAGAAAAGAAAAAATAATTTTATACAAAAGGAGACTTTTTTTTGAAATAATGCAATTCGCTTTTTCAGGTGATTGATCAATGATAAATTGCATTTTTAACATTTTTTTTAATTTTAGAAAAAGATAATAATTTTTACATAAACAGCAGTATAGTCAATAATAAGAAAATTCACTTTGAATTAAAATTTAAATTCATGAGATATTAAATGATTAATTAGTGCATACATATAATGGACAAGGAAAAATGATAGCAAAAAAAGTAAGTAGATAAGAAAATACTAAAAAGCTTCAAAGAGACTGGATTATTCAGCTTAGTCATACTTATAGAGAAGGCAATTTTGTTGCTGATTGGCTTGCTACTCATGCACCTCATCAGGATGGACAGCTGATTGTGCTGGATGTCCCTCCAACGGCTTGTTTGGAATTGCTTCGTAATGACTTGAGGGGAGTTAGTCTCCCAAGATTGTGCCCAGTATAGAGTTTTTTTTTATGTTGCTTTAGTTTTCATTGTATTTCCAAAAAAAAAAAGAAAATACTGAAAAGCTTGTAACCTTGATGTAGCACATAATTTTTGGCCAACCAATATCAGACCATAACCCGAATTTAATATGCGTGTAAACTAAGAAGGTATGGCATTTACTTCTCTGACAGAACAATGACTATATTGTTTAACGTGGCCATTAAATTCACCTAGCAATTATTGTATATGAAATCTAATGCAGAAAAAGATCTCAATTCACAAGCAAACAAATCCCAAAGTAAAACAAGAATCCACGTTTTATTTTTTATTTTTAGGGTTTTATAAGAGTTATGTTGTAGGAAAAGTGATTGTGTAATGTTATAGAGATTCGTTTTGCGTGCCTTAATTTTTTATTTATTTTTTGTTTTAAAAAAGTGTGAGCCCACAAAATATTGTGAGTGTAGAAAAATTTGTTGTGTTATGTTAAAGGATAAAACGAGACCCATTATTTTTATCCCCTCTTGTTTTCCTTTGTCTGGATATAGAAAGATGCATGTGATCACAAAACTCTTGCTCAAAAGCCTTCCTCCTTTGTTCTCATTCATTGGTTTTATATATATGTTTTGCCTCTTGAACAAGTTAGTTTAATCTTATTTAATACATCTAATAATTTTCGCCTACCTTCACAAGTATGCATCTCCATTTGGACGTAAGCACCAATAGGATAATCAATCCCCATAGTAAAATCTTTCATTTTCTCACTGTCATGTTTCATTCACTGTTCAACCCTGAATTTGTATCAAACAGTTCATAGCTGACGTCTGCAAGTCACTTGAATTATATTATAATTAGCTCAAATCTTCATTCTTAGCCCATGAACACGATTCACAAATGAAATATTTAACATTACCAGTTTAAAATTATTATACTCATTAATAAATTTTGGAAAAACTTCAAAAAAACCCCTACAAGTTTTCTCAAAATCATTTAACCCCTTCCCTGAAATTTTTAATCATTTACCCTCTTACTCAAATTTTTTTTATCACTTACCCCCCTAATTTGATTTTTCATCCAAAATTTTGTTAAATTTTTTCAAAGGTACCAAAATTACCCTTAATAGAAAAAAGAAAAACATAATTTCCTCACAAACATAATTTTTTAAAAAGTACCAATTGTAAAACTTTACGTTTTATCATAGCTAATTCTTGAACCGCAAGGTGATTTAAGGGGACTAAGTGAGAATACCTCCTTGTTATAATAATAATAATAACAAATAATTTGATATAAAACTTGCCACAATTACAATTTTTTCTTCGAGACAAGACTTGGAACTTTGAAGCCTCATTGTATGTCAATATTAGCATTTGTTGGTGAATTTTGTTTTGAGAATGTGAATTATATTATAAGTTTTTTGCTATATATCAGTTAAATAGATGGTGTGAGTGGGGCAAGTGTTCTTCATATAAACCGACCCTGGTGCATATTTTTGTATCTTCCATTTTGTTCACAGATACATTGGACCTCATGGGTTTTGATAAAAGTAGGCTTGTTAATGAAGTAGGTTTTCTTTGCTAAACTCTATGATAGTACTCAACTTTCGCAACATACCTTGCGGATTTTACAGTAAAAAATTCAAACTTTCTCTGCAGGAATTAAAATATAAAAAACAACATCCTACTTGTTTCGTATATATGAATATTTTAAACGTAAATTTATAACAATTGTTTGCAAGCTTAAAATTAAGCAATAATCCCTTAAATTAAAAAGACATATTAAACTAGTTACAAAGTAGTTTGTGAGGAAATTATGTTTTTCTTTTTTCTATTAAGGGTAATTTGGGTACTTTTTAAAAATTTAACAAAATTTTGGATTGAAAATCAAATTAGGGGGTAAGTGATAATTTTTTTTTGATGGGATAAATGATTAAAAATTTCGGAGAGGGAGTTAAGTGATTTTGAGAAAACTTGCAGGGGTTTTCTGAAGTTTTCCCATAAATTTTTTCTAAAATAAACTTATAATTGGAGTAAATTAGTAAAAGTGCACTTATCTTTAAATTTTAGTTGATAAAGATTATGATTTAATTTAAATAAATAAATAAATAAAAACAACCCTCACTTTAAAATATTCTTTTGCAATTGAATTAGTTTCCTTATGTTGCTTTTGAAAATGGGAAAAAGATAATTATCTAAGTCCAGACAGCTGTTAATTTGCCTTCACATGGAATTTTGGATATATCATATGTTTTTCCACTTGTTAGGTCTTGTTACTGTTCTGTCCATGACACTATCACCGTCTGCTATGACTAGTAAGCAAAATACCATAATTCAAGGCATGTAATCCAAAGTCAAATAAGAAGCTATCGCAACAGTTACAAGTCACCTTCGTTAACACCCATCACTCATCAGCTCCCTAATCATGTACTATTCTCATAGAAAATCAATAGAACTAATGTGATGTGGTTATGAAAAAAAAACAAAAACAAAAATTCAATCAGAACTTATACACTGAAAAGAGGTTTACTATTCAAGTCTAATCCCAAGCTGGGCCTCATTGAATCACCTAATCATCAAAACGAAATTCTAATTCATGAATCTCAAGTTGGGCATCATTTGTGACTTTGCATTTGGTCTAATTCATGAATTAACTGACTTGAGCATCCATTTTTCCTATGCATGTTTAAGAAATTAAAACTAAAGCCTTCTTACATGACAAACTTTAGCTTAAACGAACAAAACTTATGAAAAATATTTTGAGTTTGGCTTGGCTCATTAGCTTGGTATAAACTAAATTCTAGGCTTGACTATAAAAAATTAAAGACTTAACTTGACTCATTTATAATTATAAAATATATTTTTTCTAAACTCACCGACTTCCAAATGTTGAAGCTATAAATGCATCAAATTCTCTATTCCTTAAAAAAAACAATCATAGAACTCATTCAGTCCACATGTATTTTAAGATCGAATAATAAGTTTCACAATTTCTTCTTAAACATTGATCCAGCTCATGATGACTTAATAAACCAAGAGAATGTGCGATCGACGCCGCTTGCAATGCAGAAAAGAACACACACACAAAAAATTGCGACGACTTCACTGCTAATAGAATAAGCTGTCCAAACTCCAAAGCTTATTATATTATAATCTTCAAAGAAGAATAGAGAAAAAATACCTGAGTTTGGTCAGTTGCTTATGGAGTTAAAACAATAGTAAAAGCTTACCCAAAAAAAAAAACAGTAAAAAAATAGGGTTACAAAATAGGGTTAATGATTTAGTGACATAAAAATATATTATTTATTATAATAATATATCGGGCCAGGTCACGGACTTTCAAGCCAAATCTCATTAAATTAAGCTTGGGTTTGTTTGCTAAAAAGGTTTTTTTTAAAGCTTGAGCTCGATATATTTATTAAACAAGTCAAACCTTAGACCCTTAACAAGCCGCTCGACTCATTTACACTCCTAAAAGTGGCGGTCATATACCATATTTTATTAAACACTTACAAGATCATCACGTTTTTAGAGATGTTATAACAATGGCTTTTTGACCACTTTAATGCAAAAAATGAAACAAATAATCATTTTAAGCGCACACTCCCAATGCATGTTTCATTCGCATTAAATGGATAAATAATTTGCTAAAAAAACTAAACTAGTGATATGTTTAATTTTTTGCACTACAAGGATGAAAAGGCGTATAACAATTCCATTGTTACCTTAAGGCATCTAAGAGTAAGGAAGCACGGACACTCTAAAAAACAGGGAGTGTCGTGTCCGACACGCCGACACACTCCGACACGTTCTGACACGGTGTCCGACACGCGGTCAACATTCCCGACACGTTGATCTTTTTGACACGCGAATTTGACTGTATCCGACACGTTCCGACATAGTCAAATGACATTTTCGATAAAAAAAAATTAATTTTTTTTTTTAAACTTTTTTTTAAATTTTTTTTAAAAAAAATTAAAATATATTAATAAAGCTTTCACCTGATCATATCAATTTTATTTTTTGTCTTTTTTTCCTTAAGTAGATAAGAGATCATCTCAACATCATTGTTATCAATTTCTATTACGCTCTTGTTGTATCTCCTTTTCTCTGATCTCTCTCTAATATGATTTGATCTCTCTATCTGATATTATCTCTCTCTCTCTCTTATCCAAGTTCCTATTTTTTTATTAAAGCTTCCACCTTTATTACGTGTTGATCGATATTATTAATTTTATTTCATTTTTTTGTTAAATTATTGAATATTAAATGAATATACGTTATATAAATTAAAATATTATTTAATATTAAAACGTGTCCCAACGTGTCGTAATTCATATTTTTTTAGAATTAACGTGTCAGAGTGTCGTATCGTGTCGGTGCTACATAATCTAAGAGTTCTAAAGGACTACCAAACTCTGAATCTCTCTGCACTAAAAGATTTAGTTGGATCTAGCGATGTATCTCTTTCCAACACTAGATGGTAAATTGCATCCCTTTAACTTCAGTATCTCGGAAAGTTAGATATTATGGTGGTCAGGGGTGTAAACGGGCTGGCTGGGCTTTGGCCTTCCTGGCCTAAGTCTACGTAAAAAAAATTCAGCCTATCTGGTCTATCAAAGGCTTTATTTGTAGGCCAAACCCGACTTACTTTTAAAAATAAGAAAGTCCGACATGGCCTTCAGGCCTTGTAGGCCTACCACTGTAGATACTAAGCAAAGAAAATAATTGTATAGAGCAAAGAAAGTTTCATTCATGAATGCACTAGTACTTCTCGTAAGAAAAGAATAACAAACAAGAAAGAGTCAACATAATACTCCAGTTTTAAAATGTATATCATAGAGGAATAGAGTCAAAGAAATGGAGAAAATAAGAAAAATAAAATTATTGGGTGCTAAAATAAAATCTACAAGAGAATATCATTCATATAAAAATTAGGGTTGGTATTGGTACTTTGTCATGCCACATAAAATAAATATTATTTTATTTTTAATAAATTAAATAGGCCAGCCTACAAGGCTTTGGGTCAGGCTTGACAAAATTGGCCTACGGGCTATTTGTTAAAAAAACTTTCTTGAAAGCCTAAGCATACTCTACTTTTTGAAAGGCTGGGCCAAGCCAAGCTTAATGTAGGCCGGGCTGGGCTAGCCTGGCCCATTTACACCCCTAATTGTGGTACTTAGAATTCATGCCAATGTATTAAGGTTAGGGATTTAGACATTCACTGGATATCAATATGTTACCATGTTAAAACATGCAAATTGATGACCCATTTTAGAACATGAGATCTTGATCTGCAAATAGCATAGCTTCTAACAATTATTAAAGTTTTGCTGCAAAACATTTCTTTATGGATTCAAGCTTTCCCACGAAAGAAAGAAGCCTGACTAAAAGGACTAGTGGGACATATATCCACAGCCAAATATATTACTTCATCTACACTAGCCATCAGGGCACTCATGAACCATCATTTCAAAGCTGAAAAGCCGGATTCAAAAAGATATTAATGCATTACAACTCCAAACGTAGCTGATGCATAAAGATTTTATACAATATCACAGCGACCTACATGTCTAGAACACTTACAATTCATGATTCCATTAAATAAACAACGAAGAACAAAGCAAGACTTATAAGATATCAAGATGATAATTTTACAAAACCAACCATTGTAAAAAGAAAAACATCAAGCATTCTTATTTTTTACTCCAGAAGGAGAGGACTTGAACCAAGGTACCCAGACAGAAGTTGTCTTCTGATACAGCCTAAATGCCTCTGCTCTACTTTCTTGTTTCAGCATTCGGTCCTCCACAAGCTTAGTCACATAAGCCAAACACATGGTATTAACCAATGCTCCAATGAAGGTCCATCCATGTCCCAGGCTCCATGCAAATACAACTAGTCCCCACCACCAAAGCTGCTCACCAATGTAATTCGGATGCCGGCAATAATACCATAAGCCATTGTCAAGAACAGGGACAGGGCGTTTACCAAGCCCTTTTAACTTGTTGTTTCTACTCACAAAACCATAGAGCTGTGTATCAGCAAAGTATGCTATGACAATGCCACATAAACAGACAACAATAGCTACCAAGTCCCAGATGCTCAAAGGCTTATTGACAGAGTGGACAACATACAAGGGAAGGGACAATCCAATCAAAAACATCTGCAAAGATGAGAAAAACATAAACATCAACATCAACATCAACATTAACATTACTTTATTCCAAACTAGTTGAGGTCACGGTCCATGAATCAAAACAAAAAGCAAGAAAAGATAGAGGGAAAAGAAAAATAAATAAACATAGTTAAAAACTAAAAAAAGCCGTCTTAGACATCACAAATAACAAGTCTATCCCTCCACTCTCCATTTTTCTCCACGTCCTAAGACAAACCAAGCACCCATTTCAATGGCACAGCAAATAAACCAAACAAGCAATTCACCAAGCAGGTTCAGGGGGTTTGTTTAAACTTCATTTCAACACCCATGGATGGAAAAGAAAGCAAGAAAAAACTTACCTGCTGGGAGACATAAACAGCAAAGAAGGAAACCCACCACCATTGCTGTCCATACTGTTTGCTCATCTCAGTGAAACGCCAATCCTCCCTAGCACCCCATTGCCACCTTTCTCTCCTGAAGTAGTTATGTGTGAGCCTAATACTCCACACCCAAGTCAAGAAGATCACAATTTTGGACCTCCACCAATCATATTGAGCCAAAGGGTGAGTTGCATAGTAATGAACAAGCATCACAGGTATCACTGTCCAATAAGGGTCAATCATCTGCACCATCACTAGCAGCAAAAGATGTCAACTTTAAAGGAACCCCAGAAAGAAAAGTGTGTATTGAAGGAAGAAGAAAGGGGGGAAATTGTACGTACCCAATGAGTATTCTGGATTTGGCCTATAATCCAGAAGAGGACATTGACGTTGAAGAAGAAAATAGCATTGGCTAATAGCAGAGGGTGGTGATAGCACCATGCCCACAATGAAGTTGACCAAAAAGATTGAAACTTTGGGTCAACCCCAGAGGCAATTGCTGAGTCATAGTTGTTGAGGAATGAGAGATAGAAGATGATTGAGGGAAGAGGAACCAAGAATGCTATGACAGCGTTCTTCACATTGCGATCATTACCCATTGTGTCTTGCTCAGTGCTCTTTGAATCTTTCTGATCCTGTCTTGTGCAAATGTGTATGTGTGTGATGGAGTTACTTATAGCTTCCATTTTAATAGAATGATTAGTAAAGCAACTTGAGTGAATTAAACTAATTATTAACAAATAACAAATATGTTATAATTTTTTTTTTTTTTGTAAATACAAATATGTTATAATTATATAATTGCGATATTATGCCTATCTTTTTTTTTTTTTTTTGAAAATATTCCAATCGGTTATCGCTTCGCGATTAGTCTGATTCGGGACGGGTCTAAGATTAAGGCTTTAAATCTCTTCCAAAGATGTTACTGGGAAAGATCGAACACATGATCTCACCATCACCTGCTCAACTTTCATGCGTCAACTGATCTACCACCATTTGGTCTATTATGCCTATCTTTCTTTTATACATATTCTGTTTATTTTTTCCAACATCATTAGATCAAAATTTTAAGAAAAAAGAAAATGGGTAAAAATTAATTAAATTTTGATCATAAGACATTAGAGATAATAGGGTTTGATGTTTGTCATTTTAAATGACACTCTATTATTGATTGATTTATTCTATTTAATTTATTTAAACCTTCTTCTAAAAGAGGAAAAAGTACAACCCACAAATCATTAGTGGCAATACAAAAAGATTAGCAAAATCCACTTTCTGCTTGTTGTTCCCCTAAGACAGCCACGCTTACCTAGTTCAATTAGATGATCCATTATTCCACACAATGATTAGTTGATTTGATTCTATGAGCCCACAGCTAAGTTATTCTGGTCCATTTATAATGTTCTGAACTTCTCATTTAATATCAAAGAACAATTGATCTATATCATTTTAACTCATGGTTGAAGAACAAGATGAATGGAGCATGCTACTGTAGAAATAACTTGGTAACACGCACACACACATACACGTCCAGTGGATATACTCTTGAATAGTTGAAACTTGATTCATCTCTTCATCTTGATGACAGCCTAGCAATATAGAATTTTCATTGAATTAGAAGTTAGTATTAATGTTTAATAAGGTGTGTATTTTTTTGTTTTTATTTTCCACCTCCCTAAAGCAAATTTGAATTTATCCTAAAGTGTATAATCGCCCATGCTCTTTCTGATGCTATATAATAATGCTTAGTATTGTTGTAATGATGTTTGCAGCGCATAGTTGTGCCCCTAATGATATATTAGAATCCTCTCACATGAAAACTTAATCCCAAACCTGGTCCCCCACTTCCCTCCCAGATTCCTCTGTCGTCTTTGAAGGCTAACCTGCCCCAATCCCCTCAATCTACGCAAAAAGAAGGAAAAGAAATGAATGCCATGCTACCATGCTTGAGCTGTAGGGACTTAGGTCAGTATATCTTATTCCTCAGCATGGCATATTGAACAGCTTTTCTGCATTTAGTTTGTAAAAGGTTTGCCATTGAGAAATAATTATAGGAATGGCAGAGTCTAGAAGCTAGGGAATGTTTGGTATAGGAGAAATTTTTCTGTTTTCCAGGAATATGCTGTGAAAGTACTTTTTCAAAAAATTATTTGATAGAACAAAATATTAATAAGAATGTTGCTCAAGTTTCTTGATTATATATTTAGTTGACAGTTAAATATTACTGGAATGTGGAGTGATTTTACAAGAGTAACCTTACCCGTCATTATCATTCAAAACTTTTTGAATTTAAAATTAACTCTTGAATTTCTCTCCTTCCAACGTTTTAGGGTTTGATGGAAGCTATGAGCTTCCTGGCATCCCGCATTAATGAACATCTATTTTGAAATCACATTTTCATACTCATTTACCAGCAACTTGCTTATCTCTGTCAATTTTTTGTTTTGTGTTTTCTTCTGTTGTTGTTTATTTTATTTTTATTTTTTTAAATGAGGCCAACAAAGTATAGGCGCAACTTGAACAGAAGTATTATTTCCTGCGCCTGTTCCTATCTCAGGTTGGTTTCTTCATATATATTGTGATACCCTTTGTGGTTTTATTAACTTCTACTATGTTGTTGTTGTTTTTGTCTCGTGTTTTTATTAACTTGAAAGCACCATTATCTATATAAACTCTTGATCAATAGCCGAGTATTAAAAAACCACGGTACATAATGCTGTAACTGATCTCGAACTTATTACAAGTAATAAAGCTCACTTACAAGTTGCGTATTCTCAGCAAAGACCAAAGACATTGAATGGGAATAATATCACTGTGTGTGTGTAATCAATAAAGAAACTAAAAATATGTATGGATAAACAAAATTTGCAAGACCAAAAACTAAAAGGACAAATTAGTTCCCTCTTCCTAAACAAAAAGCAATACCAACAATTCCTGTGGAAAGAAATCTGCACTCATCCAGTCGTTATTGATTTTGTTCATTTTCAACAAATCCTCTTGCAAGCTTCGTAGCACATGAAAGAAATCCCAACAGCAGGAACTAGTTTTAACCTCTATAAAGGCCTAAAAAACACCAATACAACAAGTATTTCTTCTGGCTCTTCTGTTACGGTAACTGACTCTAGTATTGTATGTGCTACTCCTCTTATGAGGAAGTATGAGATTGAATTAGCCTGTAGCAATGGATGATGGAGGACATACGCCACTTGATGGAAGGTTTCCATGGGTTAAATAAGCTTCATGTAACCACAAGGCTTGTTGGGCCAGCTGCTGTCTTAACTCTAAATACATTTTGTTGACAAGAAATTGAAATTCATCAGGTGGTTTCCTCTTAATCTCTTGCTTCGTATAATGAGATTAATGTTAAGCTAAGAGCTGGTAAAGACAGTTGATCTTGTCAACCAAAGTTGTCTTCGTAAAGCGAACCATTCCTAACAGATTCCCACGGCTAAAATACAAGGTGACAGTATTTGTTGAATACTAGCAAATCTACAGTACATACTTACTGTAATCTACAAAGATATCCCATGAATGTTGCCATAGCCTCGACAATTTACAGAAGTAGACGGACATGCTGTAGGCACACAACAAAAATGTGTCCCGCATATTACTATTCCTACACTACTCGAACCACAATGAGATACTGCAAGTGTTTACTTTTGATCTAATGTTTTCATTTCTACATTATCATCTGTGTTATGGTGTCTTAAAAGAATTTGACCTCTCAAGTAGTTGTTATTTGGAGTTTAACTCTTCCAATAATATAAGAAAAGATGGTTGGTTACATGACTCTCAAAAAAACTTACATGATCAATATGAAAATTCATAACGGAAAAGGTATAACATTTGATATCAATATCCCTAAAATCAGACACCACAAAATTATATGGCATTTGTAAACATCTAGTGTTCCCAGATGGTTGCCAAGGATCAACATAACAGCAGAAGGCATCAAGCTCCCTAGATGTCGATTCTCTTTACAAGAAAGACATCTCATTAAGTTCAACAGCTCCCCTCCCCCCCCCAAAAAAAAGGCATTTAGAGCAGAAAGACCGAGTTATATCAAGAATCATTGATTGTCTTGCCCGCGGTCATCAGGTTGGTGATCATCATGTCCGCGGTCATCAGGTTGGTGATCAACATGTCCGCCATCCTCCCTATCCTCGTATGTAACCCACGGTAGCATTGACTCAAATAAAACAGCTAATGCATTTCTATTTGTAACACCACGAGGAGCATTGCCATTGCCATGCAGATTAGCAAATTGGTTCTCGTCCTGCATAGCCTCCTCCCTCACCCCTGGAACTCCCATAAAGTGTTGCAGATTTTCTGGTGGAATTGATGTCACTGAATCAGAGAAATCAGATACCAACAAATGTCCATACCTAACAAACTAGAAATTGTAAGTTGAATTGCTTAAAAATCAATAGAAATAAAAACAGTGCCGGAATATCATAAGCAAATGAACTGCACCCTCAGTTTCATAAGGAATAAGATTCAACGTGCTACTTTCTTTTCCTTAATTCTCTCTCTTTTTCCTTATGACATGAGATAAGCTTTAAAAAAAAATTGATTCAATGCAACTCTATCACACAATTATTCGTCAGTTAGGCGGATATCAACACATTGCTGCAAGTTCTTAGTCATGAATTAAATTGGTCAACTACCAAATCTTCATTTCTAATTGAAATAATTTGCACCAAGTTTCAAAGACAATAACTTCAGATGAATAAAAAAAACCTAGTTGAAGACGGTTTGTAAAACAGAATACTTAAACATTTGATGCTTTTTTGGATTCAGATAAAGATTCACTTCAAAAAAAATGCCACAAAAGTACACGTGCAAAATCTGAGCTAAAAACAAAAAAAAAATAAAATAAAATAAAAAAGAATCACTTACTCATTCTTCTCAGATGAAAATGCTTCTTTTCTGACACAAGTCCAATCCTTAATTTCACTTTTATTATTTTCTAGCGTTTCGATCACTAGTTTTGCAGCATCACTTAACAGTTTTTGCAGATCAGGAAGCCTCCATATAAGATAATTTCTCTCAACATATATATTAATCAAGTGATCTTGAGATGGAATTCCTGTTTGATCTGATCGGAAAAAGGCATGCTTAAGAATATCTGTCCATGTGCGATCTTTCAATGGTACTTTTGCCACTAGCTTCTTTATGACTGAAGGATGAAGCATCAATGCTTGTTTCATAAGATCAGATGAAGAAGCCATTTTAGAATCTATAGAATCCTGTTTGGAGGCCTCGCGCTCAAGGTAAAACCGACAAATGGCAAGAGAATAAGAGAAATTTGGAAACAACCAAATGGAGTTATCACTTTGATAATCTTCAGAAAACTTTTCCAGCCATGCATACTCCTCGGCCCTTAAAGCAAAGTAGTCGATGCAGAAAATAGCCCCCATGGGATCATCAGAATCCAGCGAAAGCAACAATTTGCAGACATCTAAAGCAGATCTATGACAGCCACGCCTGTCCAAATTTTTCATGTGAGTGAAAAGAGCTGAGAATATAGGTTTGTTCGTATCATGTCTGAACTTCAATTGGCAGTTACCCTGCAGTGGAGTGAACATGGGATGCCATGCACATTCAAGGGCATATAGACACTTGGCAAGGGCATCTGCAGACATCTGTTGTTCACCCACTACCTTCAAATATTCTGCCATTGTTAGAAGGGAATCAAGATGATAAGGATGGTACTGTAATACTCTCGCGATGCCATTTATGTCACTAATTGCTTTGGCAGCTTCAAACGCGCTCTGAGTTTGGGAGTAGGATGATGAGTGTGTATATCTACATCGTAAAAAAGCCAAAATATGGGGGAAATGAGCAATAGTTAAAAGGGCTACGAAAATATGCAATTCCTATTATTATTATTATTTATGAGTCACATCTCAATAATCTTTAACCGTAAAGGTTAAAATAGGATATCACAATACAAAGTACAAAAGACATATTCAATTTTTAACTTCATAAGTAAACCGCACAATTATAAAACAGACAGGTTGAGAACCCAAGATCCCACTCTCCGCTCTTGTTTTGAGGAGAGGATTGAGGAGTTCCACTGACCCAAAGGTCATTGACAATGAAAATAAATAATAACAAAAGCCCAATCATGCATGGCCTTATAGTTATATCAATGATAAGAGAAAAAAGTAACAAATAAAATCTTACACTAACTTATATATATCAGTAATAAAAATAACCAACAATCATCTCTCTACTTTTCATAACTCACCCACCACCTAGGTACTTCTGTTCTATTCAAGGTCATCCCTTTAATTTGGAACCTTTGTATTCGTCCAGAGTTCTTTGCAAGTTTTATTTTTACATATGATATATACTTTATTATCCCCCGCCAATGGACACAGCATATTTCTTTATGTGCTTATTTTGATTGGACATGTTTGAGATTCATTAGTTGCATACATCACATGTTTGAAGATAGGATACTGAAACTAAGTCCTTAGCCTGTATACAGCCATACATATACAGAAAGAGTGGTGTTCAAACAAAAAAATGCGGAAAATATTATCAACCAACTTAATAAGAATGATCCTTAGTTCCTTACCTAAAGTAGTTATATCCATCCTTTGTTTCCAGAAATTCCATGGACAAAGAATCGTCACACCGAGGCCAATGGTTTGCTGGAGTGACAAGAACAGTTTTTCTAAGATTATAGTGTCCGCGCCTCACCCCTCTTATCTGCCTAGAACCGCTCGCTTGATTGCTACTCTCAAATGATTTCACAACCTTAGATCCAAATATTCTCCTCAGCTCATTTTCGGCATTCAAATATTTTGGATCCACTTGTAATATGGAATTCACATTCTGTTTAACAGATTTGTTCCGGTCTTTGGCATTCACTGCTCTACCTTTTGTAGAGAAATGTTGCTCACCCGAAGAGTTGACATCCAAAGATAAATCTTCTAGAATCAAGTCCAATTCTTTTTCACCTCCTGTTTTAGCGGCAACAGCACTATCCTTGTTTTTCTTCTTTTTCTTTTTCTTTGATTTTGGATTAGACGCCGAAACCGCAGCAGTGCCTCCTTTAGATGAAGATGACTCCCCTTTATCATCATATCTCGCCAATGTTTCATTTGTGTATGTCAACTCATCTTCCTGCAGTTAAAACAGCCAAATTTTCTATTGAGAGCTAAGGATTAGAAATCCAGATGAGTAATAAGCATACTCCCTAGTCTCTACCTTCTTTTACATAAACCCAAGCATCAAATTTAAGCAAAACACCCAATAAAATTTTCTACTAAAGTAATAGAACACTATATAACTCTCTAGTACTAAATGGTGGTGACATTTGATTAACAAAAAATAAAAGTTATCTTGAACCTGAAATTAAATTCCATTAATATGTTGTTTGTTTCTGACCTATTTCCAGATACAAATGCCAAGTTCGAATTTTCGGCTAATCCAATTCGCTTGGTGCATGAAATCAATAGCAAAACAGAACCCACTTTGAAAATTAAAAAAGGAGAAAAGGGTAATGCTGCAATAGTTAAAGAGTTTCAATCCAAACAAGAAAGTTAGGATTTAAAAAAAAAAAAAAAAAAAAAAAAACCTGTTGTTCAGGCTCGGAATCTTGGTCGTTGAGGAGGTCGAAGGGGTTGATGGAAGAACGAGCGTTGGAATCTTCATCTTCACCGTTGAGCTGATTCTCGTGCTCTTCTTCTTCTTCTTCGTTCACTTGTTGGGAAAGTTGTTGTTGCTCGTTCAGAACCTTCTTCACCAATCGAGCCGACATCGATTTGGGCGTTCCAACTTAATCACTTTCAGGATTATGAAGATGAATTCAAAGAGAAAAGACTAAAAAAGAAAACGATGATTTCCCTCAAATTCAATAGCAAGAAACAAAGAACAAACTCGAAATGAAGAAACAGCGTTGTGTGTTGTGTTGTGTTGTGTCTCTCCCATCTCTGCGACAGGAAGATGTGGGCTTTTTTCTAACTATTGGGCCTTATGGGCTTTCTCTAACTATGAGCCCAAGTTGAATCAAATTGTATGTTTTATTACTCCTCATGAATCGTGATACAATTTATGGATCAGTGATAAATGGGTGACTAAAAGGTGGTAGCAATTATAGTTACTTTAAATTCAGACAATTATACTGAGTACTTATGGATTGATCAAGTCAACTAATTAAGTTATATATTAATCATGACATGTTACTCAAATTCTGCTTTAATAAATAATTTGATATGTGAAGGTAAGGAAGACATTAAACTTTATTTAGTTTGGAATGAAGATTCAATGAAGAATTGCCATGTGTAGCTTAGCTAATAACCGCCTTTAATATCAGTAAATAAAATTTAAAGTTTCTGGTGAGCTTTTTGGGTATATATGACAATATTTTTAAAAAAGATTATTTCTTTCTAAAAACAATACCCGAGAATAGAATTATTATCATACACACGATTCGAGTGATGATTTTTTTTAAATAAATCACATATATTATTTATAGGAAGCAATCTTGTTCGGGATGAGTTTAAGATTAAGGATTCAAATCCCTTCCAAATATAATTAGTGATAATTGTTAATATTTGATAATGACTACTTCTCTTATGTTAAATTGTTAATGAGCGAGAGGGTAGTGATACATATGCACTCTAATTAATATGTAAATGAGATGAAAGCATAACAATTGTATTTACAAAAGGAGCAAACCATTGCCTTCATACCTATAAATTTAAATTTATTATGGGTTTTAAAGGCAAGTTACCATTCTACGGTAGAAGTTTTTTCAAGGTTTCGTACATGCAAGGAAAAATATCTTTAATATTCTCGTAATATTTAAGACTCATTAAATTAGTTATTAAAGTTGGAACAAAAAGTAAATCATTTAATCCATTTTTTTTTTAATAAATGAGTATCTACTCCTACTCATGTGATTAGATGCGACCTTGTTGGTGTAAGGAAGATACCAACGTCCAGAGCTTATGGGATGTGACTCTATTTATTTTATTTATTCTTAAGGCAAACAAATACAATAATATTTATTATTATTTTAATGAATTAAAATTAAATTAATAATAAATGTAGGTTTACTTACCTACTTTATCAGGACCGTTATTTTATTTTGACATGCTTTGTAGTTAGTTTATGCTGACCCAGTTGTTTCGAGATGCGTCCATGTTATTTGAAAGTTTGAAACATTTTCCAAGGAGCCATTTTGTCTTCGCAGTCGCATGTGCTTCTAGAGAAACATTCAGTATTTTAATTTGCTTATTCATGTTTATTTACTCTTAATTATTTTAGTTACCTTTTTATATACTTTTAGTCATGTTACACTTTAACCTTCTATATAGTTTAATTAATTTTTATTTTTCATATATAAACTTCGTTTTTGAACATATAATTATCTTTAAAACATAATAGTGCCACAAATAAAATAGTATTAATTTTAAAAAAAGCATCTCAAATTTAGACATTATATTTTTCACGTGTTTTTTATGTACAGATTACCCCTAATATATTTAAAAGAAAATACCAGTTTGAAGTTTTTATGATAATTTACAAAAATAAAGTTTACGTATTAAAAAAAATGAAATAAACCACGATGAAAGATTTCGTGTATGATGTAAATTATCATACTTTTTATAAGAAAAAAATGAAGTCAATAAAAGAAGCCGTGGAATGAACAATTCACGTAAAATGTGTAGATTCAAATTTCTCGAATTAAAAACATTTAAATTGGAAAAAATTTTGTCCTCCTAACAATGAAAGATAGACTAAAGACTCGGTAGCAGTCAACTTGCCTAGAATGTGAATTTTGAGGTAATTGCCCATTCATTCCCATCCTTTTTTGCTCCTCCTTTGCCAGGAATGATAGCATCTAACTAATTAAATTATAATATGAAATATAAATTAAATGTACATTATTAAATTAATTTTAAATGTAAAAATCAATACCCAATGTATGCCAAAATTTATCTCCTCACTGCTAATATATGATCTTTTGCATGAATAGTTTTCATACAATTTTCTTACTTTTCATCCCAAAAAAATATACATAATTGCCACCAACGATATCATATTTTTAATAAAAATATCTTAAAATTAGTGTTATTAAATATAACTTGAACGAACTAGATTGAACAAAAATTGGTAAACAAGTGATATAACTGGTTCGATTGAGTCAATGAATCAGTCATGTAACAAACTCGATACGAATCGGTTCGAGTCGACTGTTTTTTGAAAAAAATCAATGACCTGACCAATTTTCTTGAAACTAGTTGAATTGGTGGATCGTGCAATTGTTATTTAAAAAGAAAAACTGTTAAATGTTTTTTTTTTTTTTTTTGTAAACTTAAATGTTGTGTTTTTTACACCAGTATGAATAACTCAAATCCCTAAATTACAATCTTAATGTATGTAAATTTAAGTATTTGAATATTTTATGAAATTTTAAATATAAATATAAATTTACATATATTTGTTTGGACCAACTGATTTAACCATTAATCTAAGAAATCAGTATTCTGGTTGAATTGATAATCGGGTCGGGTTTATAATATTACTTAAAACATAAAATTAAAAAGCCACTTAAAAAGTATAGAGCGGATGAACTGAATCAAATCATAGCCTAGTGGCTAGAGGCAACAATAAGTTGTTTATAGAGTTAATTATAATAAGTTAATTGAGAATCACCTTTAAACGTACGTAGCTGCTACGAAACCTATTAATTATTAAAACATTATTATGCCTAATGATCAGCACTTTTTTTGAGCAAATTTGAAGAGCCAGTTATAATGATTATCGTCTTTCTTCTACGTGAAGAATGGTGTTAACGCTTTTCTTTTGAGCATTAAAATATGGAATTTATTAATCTTCTTTAATAGAAGATAACTTATATCATGTCATAGAAATAAATTATGTGAGACCCATTATTTTTTAAAAATAAATAAAAAAATGGCACGATTTTTTTATGTTTCACTAGCATAAGATAATTGTCTCATGTAAAAGCAGACAATTTAAACCCTTAAAATATTATGTGAATCATAAATATATTTAAATGGTATAAATTTTAAAAATAAAAAATACATTTATAAAAGAGAAAAATATAATTAATTAGATAAATGAAAATATAAATTAAATTAATATTTAAAAATGCATAATTTAGTCAAAAGAACTTAAATTTAAAAATTAAAACAAAATAAGTTAAGAATGACAAATGTCTTTTTTATGAAGAATGGTAAATCGAGACTACCTTCCAAGTAGGGGTGTTAATGGGCCGAGCCGAGCCGAACTTTGGTCTTAAAAGATTAAGCTTGTGTTTAAATGTGTCAGCCTGACCTAGCATGTTACATGTTATAAATATAATTATCGGCCTGTGGCCAGACTTATTTACAAAAAATAAAAGTATGATTTAGCCTGTTTTAAAAAAATAAGACAACAAAAATTTATCCAAACAGAATATACAATCAACAACACTAGTAATTCCATAAATATTCATAAATTCAATGTATATCCAAATATTATAATATAGAACAAAATCATTCAAAAAGTCTGTTTAACCAATAGAACGAGGTGAAATGGATTGAGAAGAAAGAGATGACTATTATAAGAAGTATAAAAATATAAAATAAAAAAATAATAATATACTATGTCAGCCTGAGAGGCTCTAAGACCGAGCTTTTGAATTGGAGCCTGAGGCATTTTTATTAAACGAGCTTTTATACAAGTTCAAGCCTGGTGCAAACAACCAATTTTAGACATATAAGCTCAGGCCTTCACGAGCCGAGCCAAAGGCCTCTGAAAGGTTCCTGATTCGTTTAGCTCCCCTACTTCCAAGGGTGCATGTTATAATTTAATATATAAAATTAGGGTTTAATTTTTTTACAGTCAATAAAGATAAGTTATCTACATTGAGCCCAAAACGATGTCGTTTTGTGCCCGAAATCAAGTTATTTTTGTAATTATAATTTATTTCAGAGTTATAATATTCTTTCTCATTATAATTTTAATATTTTAACACAAAACAACGTCGTTTTGGGAGTAAATATAAATAACTTATTTACATTCAGTGTAGAAACATTAAAGCCATAAAAATATCTAAAACTTGATATAATAAAAATCTGTAAAATTTTATCCGTTACATTTAATATTTGATTAGATAATTAAATAGACAATAACAAACGGATAAAGAAATGATACTGAATTAATTACGTAAATTAAATAAATTTAGTAATTAATTAAGTAAATTTTATTTATAACTAGTAATGAAGAATATAGGAAAGCCGAAAATGAATTAAAAAAAATATTGAACGTAAAAGAAAAATTAAACTAAAGAAAATATGATGTTCAAGGAAGAAGTCATGTATTTGAGAAATAGAAAGAACGTGCATATTGAAACAAGTGCTCCACTCTTTTTTCTTTCACCATGATTTTGTCCCATTGAATTTTCCTGGTAAAGTTTTTAATGAGATAGTTTCTCATACATATTTCTTCTCAATAGGATTATTGAACATTCAAGGGGGGAGTCATGTTATAAACAATTGGCTGTCCAATCTGTTATATAACTGTTAGAGATGTTATGATTGTTGAAGACGTTATGGTTGTTGGAGATATTATGACCGTTGGAGAATAATTTATTTCAGTTATTGTAACTTTCATGTTTCCTGAGCCTATAAATAAGATATCATTGTAGTATGACAATACAACAAGAATATATTCACCTATCTCTCTTATCTCTATTCTTCTTCTAGTTCTTATTAATTTTACAACACATATAAATTTCTTTTATTCTAAATTATAATTTTTCTAATTTATTGCATAAAGTTAAATTTGTATCCAAAATATACAAGAGATTTAGTTGGAGAATATAAAACTCCTAACATGTGTGTTATATATAAAAATATATATTAAGAATATAAATC